TCGGGTCTGTCTGCGGTACGGTCTGGCATGCGAATTATTTAGCTAAATACCAGAAAAGTGAGCGAACAACGGCAAAGGCAACAGCGAGCAAGGATAGAGAGAGGCAAAGAGTGGTCGTGATACCCTTAAAGAGGAAGAGTACTATGACTTACAGAAGATGTTTGCAACGCAGAGAAATTACTCCAAGAGAAGTTTCTCTATGGGTATCTAACGCTACGCTACTCGAAGCAATTCTACTTGTTCCACTACTTTTCTTGTTAATTTATTGCCTCTAAAAGTGCGTTTATAGCACAGCCAATGTCAACGATTGCTTTCGAATGGATCAATCAATGGAAAAGTTGTGAAAACTTAAGCCAAATAAATTATAGCAGCGTCAGAATGTCACTTTTCCAATCTGTTTTCCTGCTAAAAACAATGTAAGAAGGAGAGGAAAGTTATTCTTAAAGCAGTTCATCATTTTGTTGAGAAAAAGTTATTACCCTGCTGGAAAGTGGTAAGAGAGGGAGTTGGGCGGAGAGAGAAGAGTATACTTCATCAGAAGCACGCACAATTACGATAAGGATCACGCTCCCGAACTGCACTTCTCCGATTTCATTTCATTTTGTATCGTTTTCTTTTGATTCTGATTCTGCCTCTCTACCTTTTGTCACTCCTTCTCTCGGCCACTCTCTTATTTGTATTTTATTGCTTAATTGTTGGCCCTCTCTTTGTGGTTTTTGAATTATGAACTGTTTCAGGCAGGCAGGCACTTTTCTCTTGTCTGTGGTTCGTTTTGTTTTCGTGTGTTTGTTGTGTGGTGTAACACAATCGAGAAACAGTTAGCCAGCGGCCATAAAAACCCAAGCAGCGAGAGAGTGAGAGAGATCTTACAAGCTGATAAACGGTTATGTGAATGCATTTCTTGTGGCTACTCTTTTTGGTACCTTGTAGAATAAGATGGGGTATATTGTTTTCATGTGTAACTGCATGTTCTTTAAGAAAGAGGTAGAGAGATTTATACTCTAACGAGTGTATATATTATTGAAGAGTATCAGAAGCAGATTCTATATGCAATCAAAATGAAAAAGGACACCTAGCTTCTGGATGTAATAATGTTTCTCCCAGTACTATCCTACCCGGTAATTTGTTCTCCTTCTAAAATAACAGTTTTATATTTTGAATATCAGTTGGAAAAGATATATTTGCTTCCCAATAAGTGAATCACAATTAGTGGGTATCCCATTACTCGACTACTTGTACTTCGTACAAAGAGAGAAAGAGAGAGAGAGAATGGTAAGGGATTTACAGTGGAATCATTGTGTTCTGCTATTTTATCACCTTGCGTCAGTTTTATGGTGGCTGCGCCTCGCCTCCGAAGAGAAATGGTGAAGGAGGAGAGAGATTGTGACAGTTTTTTGATCGCAGTTACTTTATTGCTTCCTCTCTCCTGACTCTTAGCTGGATCCTTTCTGGTTTTACCTATCTTATCGCTGCATCGCTTGTTTATCGATCATTTTCCAGGCGCCCACCAAAAATGTTTCCCTCGTTGAGTTTGTTTTTGCATTGGTTCTGTATATTTTGTGGCTATCACGTTCCTGCAGAGCTGCTTGGAATGGACGCCTCGTGTGTCCGAGTAAACGTGATGGCTGGAAATGAACCTGCTAAAAGTTTGCTCTCTTCCGCTCCCACACACCCACACCCGCACATTCACTTGCTCTTAAGCTCTGCTCTCTGGCCGCCTGCCTCTCTCTCTCTCTAGGCTTCATTGTTGCGGTTCTTTCGATTTTGATGTATTGCACATGGCGATATGTACGTGCACGTGATATGCGAAAGAGAGCGCCAGACGTGCGTCAGACACTTGAAGCTTAGAAGCGTGCTTCCTCAGCCCTCTACCCCTCTGCCACTAGCCAGCCCACTCTCTACCCCTCTCCTTTTCATTCATAAAAGTCTGCTCCTGACTGGAATACCATTTTCTGTGGCGATATTTTCGAAAAAAGGCAAAAACAAAACGCAACTGAAAATGAAACCAAAACCGAAAACCGACATGGAACAATCATGTCCCCCGCAGCACGCACTCGCAGCGGCACGCACCTTTCGGACCAGCAACAGCAACCTACCACCACCCCCCTGCCCATGCCACCCGTTTGGAATCAGCCCACACGCATCGCTGCACGTCCATGTCCATGTCCACATCCCATTGTCCTCGGGGCACAGAGTCCACAAAATCAGAGTCCACATGGAGTCCAGTCCACACACGCGTTACCAATTTCCGACCTACAGCAGGAGTCCCGTCCCCACCCCAAAGCGATGATGATGATGATGATGTCCAATGACGATGATGATGGTCATGTCTGCTCGATGTCTGGACGCGGACGTGGACAGAGCTCTCGTGGCTGCTACTACTGCTGCTGTCTCTGGAACCGGAAGCGCGAACGCATCCCACGTCCCTTGCCCCACAGCCCCACGTTCGATTTTTATGGCGCGGGGCTTGAATTTCAGTTCCTCATTCATTGTCCACCTTCCACCTCACTCCACTCCAACCGGCTCCAGCTCTGCTTCTTCCTCTGGGCAGAATCCCTCCCCTCTCGCACATCCTAAAGGGGTCTGGTCGGAGGCACTTGGCACGTTTCCTTTTTAAAATTCACAATTGACGCCGCCGTAATTGTGGGAGAATTCGCTACACCAACTTGTCTCTCACTCTCTCTCTCTCTCTCTCTCTCTCCCTGTCTGTCTGTCTCTCTTTTGCCATCTCTCTCCCACTCAGGCTCAAGAAATCGATCACGTTTCGGTTTCTACACATGTTCCAGTTACGTTACGTTTACGTAATGGATTGAGTGGGTTGGCTGGGGGGTGGGTGGACTGCAAGTCGTTTTGGCCAAGAAATACACTTTGCTCTAGTTTGAACCAAAAAGGAAATGGATTTTGGGAAACATGAATGAATGAATGAAAGCAGCGATTATCGATGGCAAAGCGATTATCGATTGTTAATTAAGGATAGAAGCGGTCTACGTCCTTCTGTTGATTGGAAATTGTGGGTAGACGCGGCTTTCAATAGCTGCTATCGATGGCAGCTCTACTTAAGAATGAGCTGATTAGTTGGATATATTTAGCATCTGTTAAATGGTCTCTTTATGCCTTGACAGGTCTTAGAATCGCTCCTCCTATAGGTGGAAAAACCGTTGCTGCCTCAAGTATATACTTTGGAAATCCTACCAAGATATTATTCTGTGATTTGGATGTGCACTTACTTTATGCTTAGGGAACTTTCCTTGTAGTATCCCATATCAATTATTCAATAATTGTCTGTCCCTAAGCCCCCTTCTCCACCATCGAAACACTTTTCATGTTTTGCAGCCAATTCGTTTGATTATGGGAAGCTCCTTGGCTGGAAATTAAAAGGGTGTTGATTCTCTCATTCTCCCATTTCCTTCATCTGTGTGGTCCTCGTTTAATTCTGTGGTATGGGGGAGGAGGTGCTCTGCTGTACCAACAACCACATAAAAGAGACAACTTCAGTCTGTGCGAGATTGGAATAACAAAACGCCCCCATCCTGCACCGCCTCCTCCTCCTGTCAGGAAATCCTAGAAGACAGAGCTTCTACCTGTCCAGGAGGTTCAGGGGGGCTCACAGGATGTGGGGACCATAGGCTGTTTTGCCGCGTTGTCATTGGCATTTCGGTCACATACACAAACACACATAAAAACCAGAAGTAGGAGCAGAAGGAGAGAGCGAGGCAAACAGCAACACCCACGCACCAGAAGAGAGCAGCGCCAGAGCCAGAGCCAGAGCGAGAGAGAGAGAGCGATAGAGAGGCCCAAAGAAATTCCCAAATGTGTAAAGAAGTAAACTAATTGCTGCGCGTGACGCCAGCCCCAAAACAAAAGCCAGCTCCACACCACACAACCCCCCCACCCCACCCCCACTTCTATGCTCAGCTCCCACCCCCCCTGCGGATAACATAAGTATATAAACGCAAGCGAGACGCAATGATGGGGCCCTGCCTTTGCCCACCCTATGCGAGAGCGAGACGCTGCCAACCAGTTTACAATGCGGCGTCTGCAGCATGTACGTGCCAGACAGCTATCTCGCTCTGTCACGCACACCCATACGGGCGTGGATAGAGCAGTGGGATGCTCTGTCTCGCTTCGGCGGCCTCATTTCGTATGCGCGCAATGTCGATTCCGATTCGACGGCAGGTCACGTCCCGCCCATTTGCACGCACACACACAGAGTCATGGTTTATGCTGTGCCTGTGTGACAGAGAGAAGAGAGAGAGAGAGAGAGAGAGAGCGAGAGCGATGTGGAGCGTGAGGCTGCTTAAAATGCTACTGGTGCCGCCACTGTACATGACCGAACGCAGTGTCAGGTGCTCACCCACACACACACACACACACACAGCAGCACACAGCAGGCACACAGTTACGTTCGGCTTGGCTGTTCGTGTCGCAGGGCCCTCGGCTTCGTGTCGAGTCAAAGATGTCACCCCCAAAAAATTGTAAGCGCTTCTTCTCTGTCACTCTGCTGGCGAATGAATGGTGGGGCCTGGGCTTCGTGGGCAGCGACGCTGACGGCTGCTGCTGGGATTGTACTGTTGTTTTTTTCTCTCTTCGGATGCGAAACGTGACTCTGGATTATTCTTCGCTCCGCCAGCAACAGCAACGGACGTAGACGTGTCCGTGCCGCATCGTAACTGTAACCGTAGCCGTAATTCCGTGCGTCGTCATTCAATTGCAGTTTCACGTACGCCACGGCCCACACTCTCTCTCTCACTCGCTCCCTCACTCACTCTCTCTCTCTCGGTGTCTCTCTTTCGGTGCGTGTCCAAGTTCTGGGTTGCGCCTCATTCCGTTGCCAATATTCCACATCGGACGGAGACGGACCAGACCAGACCAGACCAGCCAGCGACGTGCCAAGTGCCGATTCCCGGCGATAAATTAGCCGGACGCGTCGATTGCCGCGCTCCTCATTTGAATGCCAATCGAAGAGTCGACTCCTCCGTGTCTCGTGCGTGAGTCCCCCCCCATCCCGTACCGTCCCGTCCCCACGCACCCCATCAAAGGATAATTGAAGACACGTACGCGCGTGTGTAGGACAACAAAAGGATGCGGCACACGTCGATGACGAGGCACCACCGCTGTTGACCTCCAAAAGTGGCCCCAAACCCAAAACCCAACCCAACCCTTAACCAAGTGCAATAAATAGTGAAAAATGTGTTAACCCCAGTGCCAGAACATCCATCGATCCATCGATATAGCATCGCTAAGACGAAGAACTACCTCTGCAGATCCGCCAATCCCATACGATCACACGATCATTATGTTGCCATATCAGGCAGCCGTGGCCATGGATTATGCCGGCTATCAGCGGCAGCCGACGCCCGGACATCCCGGCTCCCACATGGCCGCCACCATGGGATCCTTGGGAATGCCCTCGGTGCCGTTCACACACAGTTGGATGGTGCCCGCACAGGACCTCTGTGGCATGGCTCCGTACAACAAAATGCCCAATCAGCATCAGCCGGGCGGACCCGGAATGCATGCCCAGCAGCAGCCCATCGAACCGGGGTTAGTACGAAGGGTTAACCTACGAGTATGGAGTAGGTCTTAGCTTCAAAGGAAATTGGTAGCAATTCCGATGGGAAAACATCTTCAAATGATGGATCTATTTTCCAAAATACAAACAATTATTTCAATTACAAAAGCTTTGCTTTGATCAGAGGAAGAGAATTTATTCTTTCAACTAAAGAAATCTAGCAACTTGCTCTTCTTGTTGTTCAAAATCATCAAAAGTTCTTCCAATTTCTGTTTAAGGACAAAATATAGATGAATCTTTCTTTATTTTCGTAGATTTTTAAAACAGTTTTCCTATTATATGATACAAAAAAATCGCCTTGATAATGGAGCGAAATTTATGGACAGTTCTGCTAAAAGAATCCTCTGAAAATCAGCAAGAAACGGAATAAAGTATTTCGTCCAATTGGAGACGACTCTCAATACGAATCCTCTTCTGTTTTCCACGAATTCCGATAGCAAAGGGACATTTCTACTATCCCGCTGAGTTTTAACCGTATCTCAACACACACACAAAAACAACACAGAACTGATAAAGCGGTAACGGTACTCTGTGCTCCTTCAGGCCATAAACCTGGACAAAGGACCTCACCCTCTCATATTCCTTTATGTGTAGTCTGTATTTCTGTTGTGTGAACCGAAGGTTAAACAAAAGGGAAAGACGAAGGACTTGGGTGACTTTCTTTCGCCCTTCTGTGACCGCAGTAAGCCGCTTAGGAGCCAAATAGCTCTTAATTCCCGGTTTTAAGCCGCTAATCGAATCGAATCTGAGTCTCTATAAAAATATTTGCACACCCAAAGCAATCAAGTGGAAAAGAATTACAGTACCCTCCAAAAAGGACCCAAATAAGATGATTATCAGTGCGAAACTTTCACACAGATACGGCGGACGGGACACATATATGTCCCTTAAGACAGGACCTCATTTGGGAAGCAAAGGAGAGCTTTCGAAGCTCACTAATACTGAGTCAATAGTGCCAATCAGCTGCTCGATTTTCGGGCAATTTACGCTAATGACAGGCAATTTGTACGCAACGCTAGAGAGTGGCGAATTCTGTGCGAAATTAAAACGAGGCCGTGGCATCATTTGTCAAGGGAATACCATACCACTCTCCCGCTCTCCCTCCCTCCCTTCTTGCAACATCTTTGTGCCTCATTTGAATGGCATTTCGATATTGATGATGTGAAGATTAATGTATTTTCTCTTTTAATTTGCAAAAAAGAGGGATACAAACGCTCTGCTTCACATGGAGGTTTTTGAACCGCATCATTTTTATTCGGAAATCATTTACGGCATGAGTTGAGGTCTCTCAGGTACGAGAGTACTGTGTGGCATGGCATCTCTTTTAGTGTAATTTCCACACAACTAATTAAAATTGTTTGCTGCTTAAACAAAAAGCAAGTGGCAGCAGGCAAAAGGGAAAACTGGCTTGGCCCGTGGCAAAAAAAAAAAAACCCCGCGGAGACGACGGTGTTTCTTTTTAATTATCAAAAATATTTTTATGGCCCCACAACGACGGAGACGACGACGACGACGACGGGCCGCAGTTGAGATACAAATCTCAGACGAGGCGGAGACGGAGACGGAGACAGAGACTCTCGGCCAAAGCTGAAGCCCCAAATCCGAAGATGAAGTTTCAGAGCCAGAAGCCGACGCGGCTCAAATAAAGCTACACAAAACGAAGCTTCAAGCCCGGTGATGAGCGCATTAAAATAAATTTAAAAGACCACAAAATGTACAAAAATTAAGACAGCTGTCGTTTAAGTCTGGGTTTGGCCACGACTTAAGGAATGCCCTACCAAATGTTCGCTGTTGAAATTAAAGGTAGAAGAAGGAAGAAATGAGGTTGCAGGGGAGACACCAGAGCATAGTGTTTGGGAGAATGAGATTTCTTTAAGTTTGACTTGAAGTATATTCTTATAGTGTTTGAATCGGATAATTCTAGAAGAATAATTTACTTTGGGATGTTTAAATAGCGAAGAGACTAGTGAAAGGGTATTTCTAGTAGTCTGTCTACTCAACTGTCGGAAACATTTACTTATGTTGGTATATTTTCGGAATATTTCCAGCAGTAAATATTTTTTAATACGTTCCATTAAGTTAGAGGCGAAAATGTGAATTTGTAGGAGTCTGAAAATATTGAGATAATATCAAAAAATGTATTCATTCTATTCAAAATTTATTCTTAAGAAAAGCAATGAAAACTTCTCCTAAAATTGGTAAATATTCAGCAATATTTCCATAACTTATATGCTAAAAGGTATAGAAGAGTCTTTGGTTAGGCCTCAAAGTATTCAAACACACTAGAATCCCCCTCCCAACTACTGTATATGTACCTCTTACCAACCCGTAATACCCTTGACTTTTATCTATAGCGCAGCACAGATTTCAGTGCAACAGTCAAAACAGCAACAGCAACAGCCAGCAACGATCCAGCAACGATCCAGCAACGAGCCAACATACATACAACAAAGAAGTTGTCAACAAACGTAAATTATGAAGGCTTGAAGCCTGAAAGCCTGAAGTTTTCTGACGAAGATGCCTCTCTGAGAGATGGCCGCTCTCAGATAGCGAATGCCGCCAGAAGGTTGCAGAGATCCATATCCATATACCAGAGATCCATAACCCAAGCAGAAGCGGCTCAGCGGCTCAGCGGCTTTGTAGCACATGCAGTGGTTGGAGAGGGAGGAGGAGGAGGATAAGGAGGAACGACTGTACGACTGTTGCAAGTTTAGTGAATGAAAAGTTTCCATGTATTTCCATGCATTTAGGGGAAAAGATGGGACAGAGACAAAGATGCGGATCAGGGCGGTAGATTTCAGAGAGTTTCCAGCAGAATCATAATGAAAATATCAGTTGGAAAAACTCTCACATGCAGCAAAGGGAAATCTTTTGGATAAATGGCCTGCAATTTATACCAGAGACAAACTGTCTCCGGAGAACAATTGCAGTCCGAAAAACCTAAGAGAATCCCAAGACCAATCCATACCATATCTGTTTCTCTCTTCCTCAACTTCTATCTCTGTGTGAAAGGGCGCTGAAAGACTGACAAATGTGTGGCAATTAGTCACGAGCTCTCTGACACCATTCCATCACAAAGGCGTGGGGTTGGGCCAAACAAATGGCCAAAACCTCTGCGCTGACAGGTGTCCAAAGAGCTCTGTGGATCTACGATGTTCGATGTTCGAGCCGATCCTCCAGCTCTAGCCGCCAGCCTCTGGCCATATGTCAGTGTCTACTTATGTATCTTTCATATTCTTTTGAGTAAATATTGTATCTTATGGCTGACAATTGTCTTCACTTCTCTCTCATTCTTTTACAGCATCCTGGAGCTGCGCAAGGAAAAGTCACGGGATGCGGCACGTTCGAGACGGGGCAAGGAGAACTACGAGTTCTATGAGCTGGCCAAAATGCTGCCACTGCCAGCGGCCATCACCAGCCAACTGGACAAGGCCTCCATCATAAGACTGACCATCAGCTATCTGAAGCTGAGGGACTTTTCCGGCCACGGGGATCCGCCATGGACGCGAGAGGCCTCCAGCAGCAGTAAGCTCAAAAGTAAGTACATCGAAAAAAATCGAAAAATCGTAAAAAAAGAGAGATCTTCCACCGTAGCCTTCTGTGAGTGTCGGTGAAAATTTTCACTTTGCTCATTTGCATTTGACGGGTGGGGGGGGGTCGCCATATTGGCAGCCATTTTTGATCGCGGCTTAGGCGGGGGCAAGAGCTAGACAACAGGGGCAAATGCGGGGGCAGAATGAGTGGCAATAAAAACCGAAAGCAGGAAACACATTTGCCTACATTTCGTGTTGCCGGAGTGAAAAAAGAGTGCGCGGGGTGCGCGGGGCTCTACCTTAAGTGAAATAAAAAATTTCAGTTTATTTTTATAATTTTTATTATTTTTAATTTTTTTATTTTCTATGACGGAAAAATTATGCTCTGCGCACCTTAAATATTTTTTTTTGGTTTTGCCAGCAATTTTTGTTTGTTTTATTTTTTATGTTTTGTTTTGGGCTTTTGCCGGAATTTGCATAAAAAATCGCTATTAAGCCGCAATTTATTTTTATTTGCTGCGCATGCGCGGCCATTTTGGTCAGAAATGCTGGCTTTGTCGGGGAGCGGGTAGCGGGTAGCGGAGGGGCGCTGGCGTGGCGGGGGAGTGTGTCATTGTGACAGTTTGTGGAATTTCAGAAGGCCCCATTAAAGTGATTGATTTGGCTTTAACGATTTTGCTATGGAAATGTCAATGGAATGGAGGGGCATACTGTTCTTGAAAAATGTTTTGGAATATGTTTCGAGAATTATGCCCAGTAGACTCGGGGAATTTTCTATAAAAAAGTGGAATTTTATACCCGAAAATCAGTTTCCCAATTGAGTTAATGTCTTAATACTCTTATCACTTCCAAGCACACACGAAACCCTTGAATAAATTATATATGCCCAAACTGTATTATTTATGTGTGTTTTCTTGAGCTTCCCCATACAATCTTTCTATATTTCAATGCCCCCTGAGTCACTTATCAGTGCACAGAGCCATAGCCATAGCCATAGACATAGAGTTTGTCGACACTTCAACCTCCAGCTTAAAGCCTAACACTGAAATCCAATTCATGGCGTGAATTTCCCAACACAGCAACACGGCAACAGCTACCAAGTTATTGTCAACCGATTCCATGCCATGCCATGCCATGCCTTGCCACTTCGCACTGGGAGCGCTCCACGTCATGCTCCAACGACGACAATGCATTTTCACGTCAAAAGGCATTCCACGACGACAGCCCACGACTGTTGGATGGGTCGGGTCTCTCGTCTCCCTCCCTCTCTCTGTCTCTGCGTCTCACCGAGCTGACTGTTCAGCGTTTTAGAGAGTGGGAGCTGGCAAAGTGGCAGAGCCAAAAGCGAGACAGGGGCCCATCAAGAAGCCAGAAAGCCAGAAAGCCAGAAAGGTAGTCAAGGCACTAAAAAAATAATCCAAAATCAATGGGGCGTTATGTATGGACACAAAGAGAACCGGGGGGGGGGACAACGCAACGCAACGCAATGCCTTCTTCTGCCATTCAATTGGATTATTATGCGAAACTAAACCCAGAAAAAAAAAAAACGTATTCGTAGTAATCGAGGGAGTGAGCTGCAACAAGCTGCGGGGCAATAAAAAGCACTTCAATTTGACCCACACAATCCACAATAAAAAATGGGCAGAGAAAATATTTGGTAGGGCCACACACTGAAGGTCATTAAGGCCTCCCACCCACCCACAAAGGCCCAAAGACCCAAAGCCCCGGGAGCGCCACATATGGCCATAGCCAAAGCCAAAACCAAAAGGCGCAAGCGGAAGCGGAAACTGTTTGCCAACTTATCGCGTAGAGGCATTGGAAATCGCTGGGGATTTACTGCGGTGCGGTGCGGGGTGTGCCACACACACAGACAGCCAGGGACTGGCAGGGGATGTGCTTCATTCGAAGCGATTTGCACTTGTGCGAATTATTACTTGGTCAAGCCATACCCCCCACACCCCCACACCGACCACTCTCCACTCTCAAGCCATAATCGTAAAATTCTATAATTGAATTAAATAAATATGCTCCGGAATTGGGCATCGCACATCGGGCATCAGCTGAGAAAATATTGAGGGACGCCGCAATCATACGAGTACTCTTTAGGATATTTATGATGCCTTGTGGTCGCCCTATGGGTTATGGGGGATGGGGTCCTTGGTCCTTGGTCCAAGAGTGTTGTTGTCTTTGTCTGTGTGTGGTGGGGCGTACCTTTTATTTATGTGGCAGTGTGGAGAGCAGAGCAGTGGAGTGGTGTGGTGTGGAGTGGAGTTCTCCTGTGAAGTGTTGTGTTTTGGTGTTACAGGGGAATGCATCATTTATGAGTTGGTTCAAGCTCTCAATGGGCTGTGAGTGGGGGGTGGGCCATAACTAGGGGGGAGTGCCGTGGGGTCTTTGCTGCGAGGAGCGTAATATGTCAAGAGTATTATTTGCCTTTCCCAAATGATAGTTGAACATTTGTGCCCATCGAAGTTGCTTCAATCACGCACCTTTCTCTTCCCTCTATGCACTATCTCATTCGTTTTCTCTCTTACTTCTTAATCGCACACTCACCCATTGCCCTCTTTTGTGCCCCTCTTGCCATTGCAGGTGCCGCCATTCGACGCAGTCCCGCTGTTGATTTGTTCGAGCAACATCAGGGCACCCACATACTGCAGGTAAGTGCGTGCGCCAAAGCGGGATGGCAGCAGTGCTATCAGATACAGAGAGCAAGAGAGACACAGCACCTACCCGCAGCCATTTTGTGCATATCATTACGCTCATCGTTCCCCACTCTCCCTCTGTCCCACTCTTTGCAGTCGCTCGATGGCTTCGCTCTGGCCGTGGCAGCAGACGGTCGCTTCCTGTACATTTCGGAGACGGTGTCCATCTACCTGGGCCTCTCGCAGGTGGAGATGACGGGCAGCAGCATATTCGATTATATCCACCAGGCGGATCACTCGGAGATTGCCGATCAGCTGGGCCTGAGCCTCACCAGCGGCGGCGGTGGTGGCGGCGGTGGAGGAGGCTCCTCGGGCAGTGCAGGTGGCGGCAGTGGTGCCGCCGGCCTGGCCTCCCCCACATCGGGCGCCTCCGACGATGGCAGTGGCACACACGGTACGAACAATCCCGATGGTGAGTCTAGTCCGAGTTGTGGATACAATCCCTGAGACAATCCCTCGTGGGATTAGGGCTGGGTGCACCGATTCCAAGGGGGGGGGAAGAGATCTGCTCTCATGTAGAATATATTTTTAATCATTGTGTTATTTCCCCTCCCCACCTTTCCAGTGGCTGCCTCCATGACGCAGGCCTCCACGAGCGGCTATAAGGGCTACGATCGGAGCTTTTGTATTCGGATGAAGTCCACACTGACGAAGCGGGGATGCCATTTCAAGTCCTCCGGCTATCGGGTGAGTTATCCACACTCCTTAGTCCTTACTCTCTTTTTACCTCGGCTCCCCCACTCCCAGTGAGTGCTTTGAGCGCCTTCCCTCTCTCTCTCTTTTTTTTGTTTGTTTGTTTGTTTTCTTGCTCTTTGATTTTTTTTTTATTTTATTCATTTACCGTTATGTAGCTCGTAGTGCTAACTGTACTTTTTGTTGTTGTTATTTTTTAGTTTTTAGTTTTTTTTTATTTGAAGTCTTAACTGATATTTTCTTTGGGGCTTAAGAGTGTTTTAAGCGTAGGACTAACCCTTAGAGAAAGCTTCGTTTTTGTTGTTCGGTTGTGTGTGTGTACTTTGTGTGTGTACCTGTTATACGTATTACCATCCCATCCACTGCTTATCTACAGGCCAGCGATGCAACCAGCAATTGCAACAACGCTAACAATAATAACGCTAACAATAACGCTAAAAACGTTAAGAATCCGGGCTCAAACTATTCGGTACGTATCAATTGAAATCAGTACAAAAAAAAAAACCAACAAACAACAAAAATCAACAACAACAACAAAAAAAACAAAACAAAATTTAAATTAAATTAAATTAAAAATTTATAACATCAAATGGCAAACATCAAAACAGTTTTGAGGAATGCATTCGTTTTTTGTTCAAGTTTTGATTCTATTTCGGCCATATACTCGTATATTTTTGTGTGTGTGAACCACTGACTGATTTTAGATTGATCAGTATCGAATAACTATAGTGCGGAAGCAGCCTGCAATCATCCATCAATCAAGCACCAATCAACAAGCAATGAAGCACAAATCCAACATCATTCAAGCCATCAAACATCTGTCTATCCATCATTGCGATTTGCACTTCCTTTTCCACATTTATCTAGGGGCTGCCACTTCAAAAATACCCCAAAAATATTTCACAAATTAAAAAGAGACAAAAATAATTTTAATAAAATTGTTATCAGCTGTGGCAATCCTTCTCGAAGCTTTTTTCATCTCCCAAGCCAAGCATTCGCTGCTTCAATGATAAATCCCGCACTCCATCAATCTCCTGGCACCGTCAAATAGTGCTTGCCCAGCCGATCGATCCATCGTCTAACCCAAGGACCGCCTTCTCTTTTGTACCTTTGCAGGTCGTTCTGCTGCTGTGCAAGCTGCGGCCCCAGTACACCTTCTCGCACAGTCGCAAGTCGCAGCCGCCGCTGCTGGGGATGGTGGCCCTGGCCATTGCCCTGCCACCGCCCTCCGTGCACGAGATCCGTCTGGAGTGTGATATGTTTGTGACCCGCGTGAACTTTGACCTGAAAGTAGCGCACTGCGAGCCAAGGTAAGGCCATACTTGGTTTGCCTTTTTTTTTGGCTGCTCCTCTAACTGAATTCTGTCTCGTGCCTTTGTCAGGGTCTCGGATCTGCTGGACTACACGCCTGAGGATCTGGTGAACAAGAGCCTGTATTCCCTGTGCCATGCGGAGGATGCCAATCGACTGCGCAAAAGCCATTCGGACTGTAAGTAAATGATTTAATTCCTTATGCTACTGCCCATAAGGGAAGCTCTAGGGCAAGCCAATTGCAGTTCGAATGGCAGCTAAATTGGGCACAGGATTCCTATTCGCCTTACTAATTCCCTTCTCTCCCTCTCTCTCTGTGTCTCTTTCCTCTGATTAGTGATCGAAAAGGGTCAAGTGCTGACGGGCTACTACCGACTGATGAACAAGAGTGGAGGCTACACCTGGCTACAGACCTGCGCCACGGTCGTCTGCAGCACCAAGAATGCCGATGAGCAGAACATCATTTGCGTCAACTATGTGATCAGGTGAGTGGAACACCAAGCAAGCCATCCCCCCACCCCCACCCCAAACACACCCTCAAAACCGATCTCTCTTTGTCTCTCTGTATAGCAATCGAGAGAATGAGAATCTGATACTGGACTGCTGCCAGCTGGAGCCGAGCATGGACAGCATCAAGCACGAGGAGGGATTGGGCAACGACAAGAGCAGTGGCTCGCCAGGCGGCGATGCAGCGGGCGATGGCAACGCCCATTTGAGTGCCGGGGAAATGAAGCTGACGGATGGCAAATCGGATCCGGAGGGACACTCGCATCGCGGACGGGGACGCAGTGCCGCAGCCTCGCATGGCAGCAGCATGAGCAGCCTGTCCCTGATCAAGGACAGCCCCACACCGCTGGGCGTGGAGATTGAGGCGGGTGTGGGTGTGGGTGTGGGCGTGCTGCCAGCCACTGTGGCCACGCCGGTGCCCGCCCCAACGCCCGTTGGCAGCACGACGAGCAGTGGGGCGACAACCAAGCGCAAGAGGAAGACCAAGGCCGCACAGCAGGCGGAGGAGGAGCAGCAGGTGAATGTCGAGCAGCCGATGGCCAAGCTGCCGGCCATGGAGGAGTCCCAGCCAAGGAGTCGCCTGCCCTCCATTGTGGACGAGCAGCCAGCAGCCGATTCGGCAGTCAAGGATCTGGAGCACGCCATGTCCAAGCATCTGCCATCGCCCGTGTCAGTGTCCGTGGCCGTGTCGCAGGCGAGCACCGACTTCAGTGCCGATTCCCTCATCAAGCAGCAGCACCAACAGGCGCACCAGCAGCAGCAGCAGCAACAGCAGCAGCAGCAGCAGATCGACCCCAACGAGAAGAGCAGCACGATCCAGTGGATTGGGACGCCCTACCAGCAGCCACCCGCCCCCATGCCGGCCACCGCGCTGCTCCGGCAGCTGTACGCCAATCGGGAGAGCGTGATCCGGGCGACGGCCCGCCAGACGCCCACGGGTGTGGGTCCCGGGGTGTTCTACGGCGAGCAGCAGACGGGTCCGCTGCCCACGCCGCCGGGCAGCGAGTCCTCCTACGAGAACCAATACCTGCAGCTGCACTCGGCCGCCTCCGCCGCCGGGGTGCATCCCCAGAAGGGCTCCTCCGATGCCTTCACCAATCTGGTGTCCACCTACGGCGGCTATCACAGCTCCATTGACTACCACAACGCCATGACGCCGCCCAGCTCCGTCTCCCCGCGCGACTCCAACAACTCTGGCAAGGTGCCGCCCTCCTCCGCCCCCATTCTGGCCAGCAACGGCGGTGGCTACGAGTACGCCGATCCGCTGCGCGGACAATATGTGGCTGCAACCGGAGATGGTGCCCCCGCCACGCTGCCCCTGAAGCCGCAGGCCTACACTGCCACAATGCACCCGCATCCGCATCCGCACGGCCATGCCACCAGCACCAGCACCACAACCACCGAGGGCGGCGTCACCTACAGCAACCTGGAGCAGCCGCAGTACTTTGCCCCGCACTCCAGCTTCCATTTGTACCACAAGGGCAGCCCCGCCACCGGCTGGTACTCCACGCCCTCCTAGGTAATGGACGACGGCGGCTTGGCCCAGTGCCAGCAGATGCAGCCGTACCAATCCCCGCACTCTGCCTATCAGGAGCAGCAGCATCATCATCATCATCCTGCTGCTGCTGCAGCTGCTGCAACTTCCGCTGGTGTGGGTGTGGGTGTGGGTGGTGGCGATCGCTGGGACTTTGTGGGGGCACTGGGCAAGGTGGCGCGCATGTTCTTCAGCGCTCGCAAAGGTAATCCCGGATAGACACAGCAACGAACAGGCAAGGCAGCCGGGCAGGTGGAGCCATCCTTCCTGCTGGCACTTGTACAGGCTTGGCTTAGGAGGAGCACACTCCTCAGAACGCATCTAATTAGGAAGTTAGGAAGTTAGGAACTAGCACTAGCAGTCCCCCCAGGACTAGAACTTAGAGCCTACACATTAAAGCGTTAAAAACATTCAATGTTGTTATATAGTTCTTAAGAGTTGTAAATTATGGACACACCACAAGACACCACTCCACTCCACTCCTCTCCTCACCAGAGGCACACACTGACACACCCAATGAAATTAGCTGCAAAACGGAAATACTCGGCAAGAATGCAATTGATTAAATAAACTAAAACTAAACGAATACCTAGGATACACACGAAAGTTAATACTAATATTAAATAAGACTAAGACTTGCATATAGAGTGCCAGCAGAGCGGAAGAACAGATCGAAGAACTCCTCGTACTACGCGTTAATCAATGATTGCTCCACTCCACTCCACTCCATATTGTTATTAATTATTTAAATCAATTGTAATTTTACCAGTACATAAATACACATATATACATTAAACATTAAACATATAGAAGATAAACCGCATGATATATTAATTAATATATATATATATTTAAACATTTTTACAACATATCAAATGCTTCCTCCTTTAGAATTACGAACTACCCTACCATATACATACAGATACAGATATAGATACAGATACAGATATAGTGTGCCCCCAGACTCGCTTTGGGATTCCTTCTATTTCGATTCAATGAAATTTACCCCCTAAGATGTCTAATGTTCCACTCACAACTGTTTTTCACACTCCCACTCCACCTTCTCCTCCTCCTTCTCTATTGTATATTTAACGAAAAAAACCATCTATCGGAATAGCTAAACAAACAACAACAAAACAAACAACAAAAAACGAAAAAAGTGTAATTAAATTTTTGTATAAAACACAAAGAAAGTTTCTTCCCATTAAAGGCTTACAAAATATTGAGTATAAATATGTAAAAGGTGGATTTTAATTGTGGCTGGAGGGCAGTGCTAAGGATCCTTCTAAAGCTCTCCATCTTTCGCGACTGAAATCAGGCAAAAGGCCATATGAAATTCAAATCACAGTCCTTGAAGTTTATCTGTCAGCTTTGAAATACGAGTAACCATATTCGGTAGATCAGCAGTTGAGTCTCAGTCTCACAGTCTCACAGTCTCACATTGAAGTATGGACCTCTCAAGGGCAATCTACTTTGTTTGCCGCCTTTTCTATATCAGCGTCACACTCTCGGCAGTGATTGCAAGTCCCCGCATCACCATCAAACTGGATGCTTTGCTGCAGCGTTCCATAAACTTTGATTATCCGGAATTCAAGCAGACGTTGAAACTATCCCTGGGACTTTCTTTGCTGGCGTCGTTGCCCCTGGAATACAATATGGTGCCCTTGGTGCGACGCCACCTGAAGTTGTGGTTCATCCTGCCTGCTCTATGGTCTGCGGTTTGCTGTCTGATGTTCCTGCAGAACATGCTGCTGCTGTGCATGGCCCTGTACAGCTCGTGGGACATCCGACCCGATGGCTGGCTAATGCAGCAGATATTCCTCTATATCTGCTTTTTCCACCTAGCGATTGAGTTGATGTCCCACTGGAAGGTGCTCTATGACCTGAAGTCGGACAAAGAAATGGAAACACACATCAATGATGATTACAGACTTCTGTGCCCTGTCTTGTGATGCAGAGGAAACCCACTGCAGGATTGATGCCTGTGTGTCGCTGTATTTTTGGTACAAATAAAACGAAAAAAAAACTTGCATAAAATTCCCATTTGTCGCATTTGTTGCGCTCAAACCCAAAGGCCTGGCCTGGGCCTGTCTTTTTTTATTGGTCGCATATCAAACAGTTTTGTAGGGGGGTAGATGTCACATTTCGATGATGGCTTTTTAAGCAGATCTCACACCCCAAATGCCACGCAATCCCTGACCCAGACTGACCAACGATTAATCATCGTTCCACTGCGGTGAGACTGGAATTTATTGCGGGCTGGGCCAAGCCAAAAACGAATCATTTGTTGGCCTTTTTGTTGGACTTTTGTGTGAGCTTCTGCTTGGCCAGCTCTAGGGCCTTCTGCTGCGCCTTTAGGTTCTGTCGGTGGGCCACATCCTGCTCGTCCAGATCCTTGGCCTCCTTCTTGGGTGCCTTCAATGGCTTCTTCTTGCCACCCTCACGATTGGACATTTGGTACGAATTTTGCTTTGATTTTCCAATATAATTTTATAATATTTTGTGTGTCTTTGTCGAGTACTTCAGTCGCACTGATCTGAAGGATAAGCAAAGGATTGCTTTACAGTTACATTTACTTCCCAATTAACCCTTATATACAGTACAATATATACAACAACAGATGCTTAAGCATATATTCCACAGGGTGGATATGTACACAATCTGACTAACGCCTAACTATCCTCGAAGCAGTCCGAAGCCAAAGAGAAACCTTCCTTTGGAGTGGCATCTCATCTCTGATTGATTCTTAGCCATAACTAACAGTGGTATAATTTTGGTATAAAAGTTTTGTATAACCTACACGGCACTTTGTGTCATATACAGGGGGTTGGGGAGGGGGAGGGGGTATTACAATGATTGTGGGACATCTGCCAAGGAACCGCCCGCCTGCCTCGTGGCGACATTTGTACTGGAATGAGCGAGCAGCAGGCTGGTCTCCACCTTGATCTGTGATGGAGTTGAGGCCGTCGCTGGTGCTGCCTCGGGAACAGGCACAGCAAGCGGCGGCTGTTGGTTGGGTGGCGGCGCCTCGTGCTCGTGCTTGGCCTGGTGAACCAGCAGCAGGCTCTGATTGATGCTGGAGAAGCTGCACAGATCGCACTTGTAGATGATGGACGAGAGCTCCTGCTCGGGATGGCGCTTCTGCAGGTGTATCTGCAACGGGGGAGAGTTACATATATCATCAGTTATAAGTGAAACAAATGCAAATGCAATAAGGATAAGGATAACCGATAAACCAACCCGAAAGGCGGTGCTCTGTATCGCCCGAAAGTCGCAATGGGGACACGCATATCGCTTGCGATCCCGATGCGTGGCCAGATGTCGTCGGAAGGCGTTGTGGTCGCTCGCCTCGTACTCGCAGGTGTCGCACTGGAAGCGCTTGTTCGCCTGGTGGCTGCGCTGGTGCAGCTTGAGGCTGCTCTTGGAGCTGAAGAGCCGCTGGCATAGGGAGCACTGCGGCTGTTCGTTACGCTCCTTGCAGAGATGCTCGCGCAGGGTCTTGCGCTGCTTGAAGGCCGCCCCACAGTCGCCGCAGCGATGCAGGATGGCCGTGGGCGGGCCGGGAGGAGCATCGGCTGTGGCCTGATCTTGGAGCGGTCCTTTGCCCATGCCCAGTCCCTGGGTGCGGTGCAGCCGTCGGTGGTTCTTCAGCTGCTTTGTGTTCTTGAATCCCTTGCCGCACTGCTCGCACTTGTAGTTGCGCTCCTCGGAGTGGATCTTGGCGTGGGTGTTGACCAGCCGCGAGTAGATGGGCGTCTTGAAGCTGCACAACTGGCAGCAGTAGAGCTCCATGTCGATCTGGTGCGTGCGCCACAGGTGCGTGTGCAGGCAGTTCCAGTTGCTGAAGTCCGAGGAGCGACACTCTGGACAGACCATCGGCTGGGGCGATCCCAGTACGTCGTTGTGGCAGCGGCCATGATACTCCAGCGTCGCCGGCGACTTAAAGCGGAACATGCAGCCCTCCACCTGGCACTTGCCTCCCTCGGCCACCTGGCTGATGCTCGGCGCAGCTTTCCGCTTTCCTCCGCCGGTCGCCGCCGATAGTTTGGTGCCATAGGGACGCCCGCGCACCGAAGTTCCACCCGGCAGCGGGTCCACGGCGGCGGGCAGCAGATTGTTGGCCACATAGATGCGTCCCGGCTTCTCGCCCGCCTCCGCCGCCAGAGGAACCAGCGGAGGAAGGGGCAGACTGATCGGTCCAGCGGTGCCAGCGGCAGCGACTGCAGTATCATCCGTGGCGCTGACGGGCACCAGGGGAGGCACAGCGTCTCCTCCGCTCTGTACTGGCTCAGGCGGCGAGGGATACAACTGGGGGAAATCGTCAGAGGAGGAGCACTGGGGAAGCGCCTCCACTTGTGGTTCGGAGGCGGCGGCCGTCTCAGTTGGTATGACCTCTTGCACTGCCTCCTCGATCCAGGGCCAGCCCTCCAGATCCCCGGCCAGGTCGTAGCTGTCTTCGCTCGGCCAGCTGCCGCTCAGCGGAGCTTGGAACTCGCTCAGCGTCTGAGAGTTGGGCGGTTCCAGCTGCAGGGGATCCAGCGGCTGAGGCTGCGACTGTGGCTGCGTGTGCGTATGCTGCTGCTGATGCTGGTGCTGCTGGTCCATCAGGGGCTCCATTTTGGGCATGGGTTCGAGGTTGGGAACTATAAGGCGCTCCACCTCGTTGCGGGTCATAAAATTGAGCTCGTCGACGGTGCGCAGGTGGAGAGTGCCGCGCTGCGGTGCCTTCAGGATGTCCACGTTCTTGATGAAGATCTTCTGCTTGGTGGTGCTCGGAGTCGGCGGCAGGTAGTGCTGCAGCTGGACGGGCTGCTCCAGTTCCGAGAGGCCGGACTGCACTGACGGCTGAGGCTGTGGCTGTGGCGGTGGCGGTGGCGGAGGGGTGGCCTCGGTGAGCAGTGGCGCCATGCCATGGTCAAAATCTACGCCAAAGTCCAAGTCCAAGGCACTGAAGCGAGTGTTCTCCAGTGTGGAGGCACCCCCACCACCGCCCACACTCAGCACGGAGTCGAAGGGAAAGGGTTCGGAGCACATGTTGGCCAGGGGCGCCAGGCTGGGCTCGAAACCTGGCAGCGGACCCGTTGGCGTGAGTAACGTATCCGCCTGGAAGACATCGCTGGCAACTCCTCCTCCATTCTGCATCGCTATCGTCGTGGCCACGCTCCCATTGAAGCCCATGCCGGGCAGGGACGAGGGCAGCAGCATCGGCTCCTTGAGGATGTCCACGTTTCTGATGTAGATCTTGGGCTGACGCGGCTTGGGCTCCACCTCCATCACCGACACTGGCACTGGCACTGGCACATCCACGAGATTGCTTTCCGCCAGCAGAGGCATCTCCTGGCAGCCATTGGGCAGCTGAAAGTCAAAGGTCAGCAGCGCAGGCTCCCTCAGCACGTCCACGCTCTTGATGGATATCTTCTGGCTGCTGGGCTTGTGGCAGGGCGGCGGCGCCACTGCCACTTGCCCACCGGGCGGCAGCGGACCAGGTGTCTGCACCACCTCATCGAGCAGATCAAGAATGTTGCTGGATGTGACTGGAGAGTCGGTGTCCTGCTGTAGCAGTGGTAGGAAATCCTGCTGGGGCTCCCTCAGGCAGTCCACGCTCTTGATGAAGATCCGGCTCTTGGGCAGCGGCTGCTTGTGGCCGGAGGCGGCCGCAGCGGCCGGTGTGGCTGTGCCGCCCAGCAGGGTCGCAATCTCATCGTCATCCAGTTGGTGGTCCATGCTGAGATGCACATTGAGGGCATCGCTGCTGTAGAAGATGTTCGGGCAGCCTGAAAGTCGGCTTGGATTGAGGATGAACCGAATGGTATGCCACTAAGACCTCACCTGGACACTGTCTCTGCTGCTCGGCGCTGGTTCCGAAGCAGTTGTTCACGTGCTGGCTGGACTTCACCTCGCAGAGGCTGAGGAACGGGCAGTTGGGGCACCTGAAGAGTATCGGCACCTCCTGCACCATGGCCTTGCCCTCGACGCTGGCACAGCTGGAGTTGCGCGTGGGCGGTGTGGGCGTGGCATTCAGGCGTTCCTTGGCCGCGGCCTCGGCCAGCTCGGATTTGATCAGCTCCTCGGACTTGATCTCCGCCGTCCTGCGGCGGAAGGCATTGCGATAGCTCTTCTCGGGCTGCGCCTGCTGCTGCAGGTCCGTGGTGTGGATCTGGACAAAGGGAACCTCTGCGGCTGCCTTGTTCGCTGCATTGATAGCTGCTCCATTAGGTAGGATGCCGTTGCCCAGCTGGATGGGCAGCCAGACGGCGGAGGAGGATGTGGAGCCGCAGGTCACGATGTCGTCGTCAAAGAAGCTCGTGAAGTTGGTGTCCGGCTCCAGGGCGTGCACGGGCGTGGACAGGGACAGCTCCTGATGCGGGTGCTGTTGGTGTTGCTGCTGCTGCTGATGGAGGGGCGGGTGCAGCTGGAAGACACACGGCATCGTTTGCTGGCGAGATGAACTCTCTCTCTCTCTGCCTTTGCCTGCGCATGGGGCTCACCTGGTTGCCAATGCCAATGCCGCCGTAGAAGCCCGAGAAAGCCGCATCGTTCATATTGCTCGCATTCCGCAATTCCGCATTACAATTTACATTACGCAGACAAATCTTTGTGGCAATAAAAAAAAACTGATATGATATCAAATAAACAGCTGATCATCTTTGACTCCAGTTGGCCGCCCCAAGCCGCAGGAAAAGCACTAAAAAATCCCACATATCGCTTGGCTATCGTATAGATCTGGAGAAACATCGATGTTTGCCGACATCGTTGTTTTCAAGCCGAAGGCCCTGGGAGCTGGGACAGAAAACTCAGCTTTAGTGCTCACACAAAAAGATCCATTATCGCACAAGAATAGCTATGTTGGTGTTCAGTTGAAAATATATCGCATGCATAAGAAAAACATATCGATATACTGCATGTATCGCATGTCTTACATCCCTAGCCGCCGCGAAAAAAGCCACACGAATTGCAAAATCGGAGTAAAAATTTAAGTTTTGTCGTGTTTAGAATAATATAGGACTACAAAATGCCGCGTATTATGATCAAGGGCGGTGTGTGGCGCAACACGGAGGTAAGTTGGAGCTGATTCTCGCAATTCTTTTCACTGATTTCCATGTTTTCCGGCAGGATGAGATTCTCAAGGCGGCTGTCATGAAATATGGCAAAAACCAATGGAGTCGTATTGCCTCGTTGCTGCACCGCAAGTCGGCCAAACAGTGCAAGGCCAGGTGGTACGAGTGGCTGGATCCTAGCATCAAAAAAACCGAATGGTCGCGCGAGGAAGACGAAAAGCTGCTGCATCTGGCCAAGCTGATGCCCACACAATGGCGCACCATTGCGCCCATTATAGGACGCACTGCGGCCCAGTGTCTGGAGCGCTACGAATTTTTGCTGTACGCCCACTAACTAACGTCTCAGTCTATCCCGTTGCTGATTTCTCTCATTATTTGCTCTATTTAGCGACCAAGCACAGCGCAAGGAGGATGGCGAGGACACAATGGACGACCCGCGCAAATTGAAGCCGGGCGAAATAGATCCCAATCCAGAGACAAAGCCGGCACGGCCCGATCCCAAAGACATGGACGAGGACGAGCTGGAAATGCTGTCCGAGGCGCGGGCGCGTCTGGCCAACACCCAGGGCAAGAAGGCCAAGCGCAAGGCGCGCGAGAAGCAGCTGGAGGAGGCCCGTCGCCTGGCCACGCTCCAGAAGCGACGCGAGCTGCGCGCCGCTGGCATCGGAAGTGGCAACCGAAAACGCATCAAGGGCATCGACTACAACGCAGAGATTCCCTTCGAGAAGCGGCCGGCGCTTGGATTTTACGATACGGCGGAGGAGCATCTGCAGAAGAACGAGCCGGACTTCAACAAGATGCGGCAGCAGGATCTCGATGGAGAGCTGCGCTCGGAGAAGGAGGAGCGCGAGCGCAAGAAGGACAAATCGAAGCTAAAGCAGCGCAAGGAGAACGAGGTGCCCACCGCGATGCTGCAGAACATGGAGCCGGAACGCAAGCGATCCAAGCTGGTGCTGCCCACTCCCCAGATCTCCGACATGGAGCTGCAGCAGGTGGTGAAGCTGGGGCGCGCCAGTGAGATGGCAAAGGAGATTGCAGGCGAGAGTGGCATCGAGACGACTGATGCTCTCCTGGCGGACTACTCCATCACACCGCAGGTGGCGGCCACGCCCAGGACTCCGGCTCCCTACACGGACCGCATCATGCAGGAGGCCCAGAACATGATGGCCCTCACCCACACGGAGACACCGCTCAAGGGTGGCCTAAACACGCCCCTCCACGAATCCGACTTTTCCGGCGTCCTACCCAAGGCTGCCTCCATTGCCACGCCCAACACGGTCATTGCCACGCCCTTCCGCACTCAACGCGAGGGCGGAGGAGCTGCCACACCCGGTAGTTTCCTCACTCCGTCGTCGGGGGCCTTGGTGCCGGTGAAGCCCGGTGCCCCGGGAGTCCCCACACCGGCCTATGTCCGGGATAAGCTGAGCATCAACCCCGAGGAGATCATGGGCGTGACCGAGACGCCGGCTCTATTCAAGAACTACCAGAAGCAACTGAAGTCAACTCTGCGGGAGGGACTCTCCACGCTGCCGACTCCGCGCAACGACTACGAGATTGTGGTGCCCGAGCAGGAGGACAGCGAGGCGATGGACACGAGCACAGAGCCCGCCATCGAGGACCAGGCCGATGTCGACGCTCGCCTCCTGGCCGAGCAGGAGGCGAAGCGGAAGCGCGAGCTCGAAAAGCGCTCCCAAGTGATCCAGCGCAGCCTGCCTCGACCCACGGAGGTCAACACCAAGATTCTGCGGCCGCAGTCGGAGAAGCAGAACCTCACCGAGCAACAGCAGGCCGAGGAGCTGATCAAGCACGAGATGATCACCATGCAGCGTGCGTAAAGAGTCTCCTGGGAATCACCCGCAGACGTTCTGATCCTCATCTTCTTTATTTTTCCAGTGTACGACTCTGTTAAAGATCCTGTGCCGGGACAGTCGCAGCACAAGCTGGAGCAGCTGCAGAGCTACTTCAAGGCGAACCCCTACGAAGAGATCTCCCAGCAGGAACTGGCCAAGGCCAAGAAAATGCTCTGCGACGAGATGGAGGTGGTGAAGGAGCGCATGTCACACGGCGAGCTGCCCCTGAATGTCTACGCCCAGGTGTGGCAGGAGTGCCTGGGCCAGGTACTCTATTTGCCCTCCCAGCACCGCTACACGCGCGCGAGTCTGGCGAGTAAGAAGGATCGCCTCGAGTCGGCGGAGAAGCGGCTCGAACAGAACCGTCGCCACATGGGCAAGGAGGCCAAGCGCTGCGGCAAGATCGAGAAGAAGCTGAAGATCCTCACTGGCGGCTACCAGGCCCGTGCCCAGGTGCTCATCAAGCAGTTGCACGACACCTACTCCCAGATAGACCTAAACTCCATTTCACTGTCCACATTTCGGTTCCTCGGCGAGCAGGAGGCCATCGCCGTTCCGCGGCGCCTGGAATCGCTGCAGGACGATGTGCGACGACAAATGGACCGTGAAAAGGAGCTGCAGCAGAAGTACGCCAGTCTGATCGAGGAACGTGACTCGCTCTTCAACGAGATCGAGCAGATCACTGGAGTGAGGCCCACAGCACAACAGCTGCTGGGCCCCGAACATGAAACAGAGGCCCAGACCTAAGCTCGGAAGGAAACCCATGGAAAATAGTATCTAATTTTGTTTATAACTCTCAAATACAACACGTGTGTGAACCAATGCTGGAGCTTGTCTTGTTTGCCGCTTGATTTAGTGGCCGTACTTCTGGTAGACCCACTCCTTGTTGTCCAGTGGGCAAACAAGGCGCGTCTTCAGCCAGCGAGCGATGCAATGGTAGTGGAAGGCGTGGTTGCACTCGCCCCAGGCCACGGTGCATTCGTCTTTGTTTGCATTGGGATCCGCCTGGCACTCGATGCACAGGTTCATGATGTGGTTGCGACAGATCGCGCAGTTCTCCACGGCCACGTCCCAGGACCAGAGGGCATGGGCCACCCACTTGTTCACCACGAATCGGTTCTCCTTGGGCTGCTGCGTGCCGCTGCCGGAGGCCGCGTCGTCGTTAAACTCCTCCAAGTCATGGAAGTCCTCAGTTTCTTCAATTTCTTCCACGTGATCGGACATTTTTCAAAGTTAATTTCTTTTACTAATTTCCAAAACGTAAATTTTCAATTGTGCTTCTGTTTTTCTATACCAGAAAATATGTGTTCAGCTTCGACAACGAATCAGAAGTGATTGAGAAATGTGATTTGATTCCAGCAAAATAGTGTTGAAAACATGGCCTACTTTTCTGGCTTGGCTTTCTTTCCCAGGCTGCAGGGATGTTTATCGGAAATGAAATATTTTTAACTGAGGAAATTGTCCCTGATCCATGCTAAGAACTCCATTAAATCAAGGATACTTTCCCGATATGAGGAAGTCATAACACGCCCAAAAAAAGGCCCATTCGGTAAGTACTGATGGTACCATGATGTAATTTTTTTGTTTGCCCCTATTTGGCCGAGATATAGCATCGCATTGGCTGTTTGTCGACCGTTTTGGGCGGTCCACACCTTTTCGTGATCAAGGGATAAAGGATTTAATATCTATAGCTCGGTTATCTATATCACAAGCACGTCGTAGTGGGGACAATGCCCTCCGATCGCTTAAAGACATTACAGACATTATGGATATCTCCTGCTTTAATCGCTTTAACTCCGCTATCGCTCGTCCAAACTGGACATGACACACCTTATTGTGATCGGAACAAAAATCCTTACACAGAGCGGCAGAGATGATGCAATCAAAAAATGTTACCAACATATTGAATTATATATTTTATTTGTTTTTGTTTTACCATAAATACATTTACGAATTGATTTGGTGCTAAAATACTAACAGTTTTCTTCTCTTTTTTTTTTGTCTATCATATACATATATCTTCTTATATATTTTATCTGTTTCTGTTCCTGGTTTTGCTCTTGTATTGTTCTCGTTCAGCAATCGTGTGTTGCGGTAGCGTTGAGTGTAAATAAATTTGCCATCTATATCGCTTTGTTTGTATACGTCGATAGGTAGTTGGTTCACTTCGTTCACCATCATGTGGTTGCTTTGTAAAATTTAGAATCGTTTTCCATGCATCACTTGCGGCATGTGGTAGAGAGGCATAAATATATATATATATATACGATTTGAATATCTTATGTACGGATGTACGGAGTGGATAATACAATATATAGAGACGCGATCGAGTCGGTACTAATAATGATATACAATCAGTTTTAATCATATGTCTACGGGTACTAACGGTAAGATAGATTTAGGTGTAGGTTGTGTTGTAGAGAGTACAGAAGAAGTCGGGGCATGTAAAGCGGAAGATTGTAGATTGAGTAAATAGATAGATTGTCCAACTCCAACTCTGCGGGTATACAGTGCAGTGCGCACTTTCCTAGTCATCATCGTCGTGGATTGCCGCACTGCTACGCGACATCTTCATGTAGGCGGCGCAAATGCATTCGCACACGAATCGATATTGACTCTGCAATGGAATCATTAGCATTGGGAGGTGAGGCACCCTATTGAGTGAACACTTACCACATTCTGGACCATGCAGGCACGCTGATCGCGCATGGTGCGCACAATGTCCAGGGGATAGACGGGTTCACGGGACTCCATCAGGGCCAGCGCCGTGTCCATTAGTATGAGCACACCAGTGCGTCCGATGCCCGCTGAGCAGTGGACAATCACAGGAGGATTGGCGGCACTGATGCACCTGAAAGAAAGCATTAGTTCTCTGGGAATCATCTAACGACAGGATTACTCACTGATGCACACTGGTGGAGACGGGCGTCTCGTCCTCTGGCGTGGCTCCATTGCTGGCCGCACACTTGCGCTCCCTCATCAGACCCCCGTTCTCGTCGTCGCCGGCATCTGCGTCCATCAGTCGCACCTGCTTGAGGCTCTCCTCGATCTCTTGCAGCAGCGTGCGGTTTCTCGCCGCGCGCACTCTTTCGGTGAACTCCAGGAAGAGATTGGGGTCGGAGGGAACGCAGTGATCCGGCCAGGCCAGGTACTGCATGTGATGTATGTGCCGCTGTTCGTGCTTGTCCTTCAGCACGAACTCGCGGAAGACGAAGCTGCCCGTCTCGTCCGGTTTCTCGCTGACGCAACGCACCGAGAAGCCGTCGGCCAACTGCAGCTCCTCGCCGGTGACGGGCCAGTACTGGTGGCACTTCTGGCGCCCCGCCTCCATCACTGTGGTGAGCATCACCAGCAGGTGGCTGCTCTCCTGCTGCACCATGCGCCAGAAATCCGTAGTGGTGCTGGCCAGCGGTCCCTGGGTGGCAATATATCGGTTGACCGCTCCTCCCGGTATCTCCATGTTCACGTAGTTGGCGTTGATGTAGTCGCCGGTCAGGGAGTTCACCAGCGACACTCTCGTGCAGTCGTCTGAAATGGAAGATTCAATTTGTAACCGATCTGCAAGGGTTTGGAGGAGCCTCCTGCTTACATGGCGATATGTCGCGGTATCGATTCTTGGCCGCGTTGGCCGCCTTGCGTGCTTCGGTGATGGCCAGATCGGGATTCTTGCGATACATGAGCTCGTACTGGGCGAGCAGGGCGCCAGAGGCGAGGCCGTCGCTGAGCAGCAGCAGGCTCTGGGTGAACAGGGCGTCGCCATCGAGCAGGTTCGAGTGCGAGCCGATCTCATCGCTCTCGGGCACATACTGATACAGCGGCTCCTCTTCCATTAGCAGCGGAGCCGAGCGCTGGGGCCGCACCGTGAGCAAGAGCTCGCCGTTGGACTGGTAGCGGCAATCGCGGATCATGGACACCACCTGCTCGTGCCGCAGTCCGTGGACATCGCGGCCGTTAATCATGAGCACCTCGTCGCCCTCGCAGACACGTGGCGTACAACGATCCGCGGGCGTGTGCGGCACCACCTTGGACACCTGCACGGGCAGGCTGAGATCCACGCCGCCCTTCACATTGAAGCCGTAGCGACCCTGGTCGTCCGCCTGCAGGCGGATAGTGATCAGATCGCTGCCACTGTCGGGCTGGCCCTGGCCCACTGCATCCGCTATGGTGGTGGGCAGCAGTAGGGGACTGTGCTGGCCCGAGCTGTAGGCGGGCGGCATGGGTGAGGGCGACTCGAAGCGTCGGCTGCACTGCTCAATGAATCCGACATCGCTGCAGAGACAAAAACAGATACAGGTTATAATCGGAACTGCAGGCGGGATCAGGGGTCAAGGTCAAGGTTATTGGACTCACAGTTGAATGTCGTATTCGTCGCTCTGCTGCTCCCAGGCCTTGCGCGGCATGGAGTCGGCCTCCTTGGAGGTGACCTTGTTGTCATGGGGACGGCTCGTCTTCGTGATGGTCAGAATGGTGGATGCGGACGGTTTGCCATTGTGCTGCGAGGCGGCGCTCTCGGAGCCACCGCTGCCTCCGCTGTGCATGAGTGGAGTGCCGCCGGAGGAGCTTGTGCCACCAGCTGCCCCGCCTCCGGCTAGCAGCCTTTTGCTGGGCGACCGCACAAATACCTTGTGAATGCGGCCGCGCTGCTTCGACTCCTGCACCGCCTGGAGCTCCGTGCGGCCCGAGTAGTAGAACTTGCTGCCGAGGCTGATGTTAAGGAAGCGCGAGAGGCGGTGCGGCCGCTTCAGCCGGAAGAAGCTGTGATGCTCCACGCACGACTTCCACAGGGCCTTGGCGTGCTTGTGGCTGATCATACCGAATCCCAGCAGCGTGTCGTAGTTCTCGCTGGGCTCGCGTCGCAGCTGAATGAAGAAGTCCTTGCGCTTGAACGACACCTTCACCATCTTGCTCCACGAGAAGGTGTTCACCCGCAGCGCATGCTGGAAGACCAGCAGCCCGACCGCCGACACGCCCAGCTGCAGATCCTTGCCGCTCGAATCGGTGGCCTTGTGCAGATCAATCCCGTACAGCTCCAGCCGCTTGCCATGCTCCAGATAGTTGTACTCGGCATCCGCTGGCAGTTGGCCCCGATGCAGCTTGTGCAGCTCGCTCACCTTCCGCTCCGCCTCTGGTGTCTGCTCCGAGAGCAGCTGCAGGCCATTCAAATAACCCGCCTGATGTTCTGCGGCATTGAAGTCGCCCAGCTCGGCTAAAGCAACGGAAAAGAAGGATTGGAAGATGAAACTCACATCATAGGCAGATCATAAAGTACAGGGACACTCACATTGCACTGTGTAGCTGGCAAGCAGGCACTGGGTGTTGCTGGAGCATGGCAGTTTGCCCAGCAGAATGTTTCGCTTGATCTGCAGATAGAACTGGTAGCGTGTAAACTCCTCCTGCAAGCGGCTGGGATCGCTTACAAAGAACTGCAAAAGGAAGTAGCACGGATATACATTTGAGTGCCCTCTGGAGATCAACAGGTAGGAGAGCTCTTACCTTAACTCTAAACTCTAATAATGGAACGGCATCGTTGTCGAGCGTGACGCTGCTGCATTGCTTCTTGAACTGCTTCTGGGCATCCACCCATCTCTGAAAAAAGTTAATTAAAATCATATTTAAATGAAAATTCAGCACTCCGGAGCACTCCTGCATGTCTCATACGTACCACAACGTCACCTGGCTTCTGTGGAAACAAGAGACCAAAGTAATCCCTTTCGGATAATTCGAGATATTGAAAGACCTGATCCAATAGTTCAGCGCCTTTCGCACGTTTCTAAAAAGAACAAGAAACAAAAGGTATATTCAGCATGGGTTTGGGTTTATTCTCCTTTCTTATTTCTCCAACTTGCACTTTCATTGTCTTTTAGAGACAATTACAGTGATTAAACTGCGACTGGAATTTAGTTGCTGCAATTTGATAGACAGATTTCATTTGGGGGGCTAACCACCAAAACCATCAACTGAAGAAAGAGAAAACCTCGAAATGGAGATTGGAAAACAATGCGGACAAGTGCGTGTCTATAGCTGCTGGGAGTGGAGGCAGATGTGTGAGGAGGTGCTTGCCACCCGATGAAAGTGAGTCTCGTCTCAAGTGCAGATGCCAAAAATGAAACCGACAAATATGAATAACCAACGAATGAGTTGGAGTTGATGATTACAGAAAACTTTCATTGTGTTTGCCAATAATTATGCGCATAGCTAATGGATCGACCGAATAGTAGATGGGGGATGGGGGCTAGAAAATGGACTCACCTCGAGCCGAAAGGTGTGCGTGATGTCATCTAGGAACAGGACTGTGACGCATTGCTGCCGTTGCTGTTGGTTCTTCTTGTCGCGCGCCAGTTCGCTGCTGCCTCCGCGTAGACGAAAGTTCCTGCTCAAATTGCTCAAACGGAAGCGCTCAAACATGTCCGACCATGTCCATGCTGTCCTCCGGGGTTTAGGTTGCTATATGTGGGTGGGGCGGCGATTGCTGACGTCTCCGTTCGTTTGCTTGGATGGCGTTCTGATTGAAGGGGAGAAACTCCTTATGGCAGTGGATGTTATGGGTTATGGGGGGGTTTCTCTCCTGGCTCGGCTTCTTGTTTATTCGATAAATTGGCAAGAATATTTCTGTTTGTTTGTTTGTTTGTTTTTAGTCAGTTCCTCTCCCTCCTCCCTTCTACTGCTGCTCTATTTTTGGATGGATCTCTGATTGACTGTTGGATGGTTGTTGTTGTTGTTGTTGTTGTTGTTATGGTTTTGTTCGTGTGCTGCAAAGACAGAGAAACAAAATTCAGTTGATGAAGGCATAAAATTGTCGAGTTGCTTCCGTTTTTCTTCTATTGTTTGTTTGCTTTACTTCCGCCAACAATCAAAGCCCCCAGAGCTCAATCTCTGCCTCTCTCTTTCTTTGTGGCATATTTCCACGTAGAACAGACGACGACTTGACACTTCACACTTGCGACAAGTGCAGGGTGACTAATTCTTCAGTGTTTCTTGAAGCCCAGCACAGCACTCCGGTCGCTTCCCTTACACCCACCAACCCACCGCTGCCTCCTACGAGTTGTGTTGTGCCTTTCCCATTTCCAGCTTTTACTCGAGGGTCGTAAGCAGGCCAAGAATAACTGTTGTCAAACTCGTAGATAAGGCCCCACACCACACAACACAACACAACACACACTTTTAGCTTCATAGATACAGATACTCGTACACACACACACACACCTGCTACCCCCACATTCATTGTTTGTTTGGCTGGACAGAGAAGAAGCTCTCAGCTCTCAGGTCTCTTTGGCTGAGAATCGTCTTTGCAAATGATTGATGTACCATGTAATTGGCTTAAATGCTACAAAAATGCCCACAGATACATACACACAGCTACAGCTATACCTATAGCTTTGGTATTGTTTGTCTTCGTCTTATTACCTTTTAACCTTCTTCTGTTTTGTATTTTGTGTTAACTGGGTTAAATGCACGCTGCTGCTGCTTTTGTTGTGCTTCTCTCTGGGGCGGGTACTCCAACGCGAATGATAAATGATGGAAAAAGAAATCGGAAACAGAGCTTTGTTACCCCTGTTCGCTCTCTGGTGTTGTTGCCAGGTAATTATCGCCAAGTGGTTAACTACAAAGTTCCCTTGAGTCAGTTCTCTAGTTCTCTGTCTAGTGATCCAACGGAGGGACAGTAAGCCTCCACCCACATGGAAAGGAAATGATGTAAGAATTGTTCTATATATATTCAGGAATACATATAATTGTCCGCTCCGTAGAGCGTCTTCACTGTACATTTACGATCCTTTGTTCTTAGGAATTAAGAAATGTTCTTGGCGTGATGGATTTATCCCATCAATAGATACGATATTTTTGTAGTCTGTTCTATAAAAACACACTGCTTCCGGGGCTGTTCGAGTCTTCGAATACTAGATGGCATGGATATGGATTGGGGGGAACCAGAGGCAGAGCAGAGGCAAAGGCAAAGGCAGAGGCAGAACTAGAACTAGTGGAAAAGTGTGGGCTTTATCATTGACATGGGTATAATTTATATCGTGGAACAAAGCATTGAACCACAACAACTGAATCACAAATGGGCAATAAATAAATGGGGCTTAAGATCCGAGCACAAGGTATTCTACTTCTCCCCTCTCTCTCTTTCTCTCCCTTTACCCATTTCGATCCATTATCTCCGATTCCCGATTTATTATCAGTAGCAATAATTAGCGCAAACATGCCGCCATGCAAATTTGTAAGGCACACATAAAACGCCATGCCATGCCATTACGGAGAAAGGGAGCTTAATGGGGTATAGGGGTATAGGTAGGTGCACCCTGGCTCGATAATATAAGTTCTTTTGGCTGTCAACAGGTTGGCAAAAGTACAGCAAATATGATTATTATAATAAACAAATGAAAAGTTGCGTCATTCTGTGACGCCCACGGGAGACGTGAGACACTCGAGGCAGGCAGACAGACCAGCGGGAACGTATCTCGTACAACTGCCGCCCCACGCTGTTGGGTGCCATATTTGTGCGGAAGCCATAGGCCAGGCCAGGCCAGGCCCGGCCCGGCCGTGGCGTTCAACCATTGTGGTCGGTCGGTCGGACAGGGCTGTAGCCTCTATTTATGGCCAATGCAGGTTGTCTGTGTGTCTGTCTGACCGAATGGAAGGAGGGGGAAGAGTCAGTCAGTCCAGCACTCGCTTCTCAATTACGATTTTGGTTTCATTATGAAACTGAAATCGAAATGGACTACACCTAGAGTGGGGAGTCGTGGCGGAAGGGGGAATATGGATGCATTGTTTCGACGGTGGCGGGGAAGACTCTTCTCTTCTCTAGCGGTTCGTTGACCGACTTTCGGCATGAAATTATCATTCATGCAAATATTTGCACACGTACGCGGGCTTTTTTGTTTGGGATTGTGTGTCTGTGTTATTTTATGTTGATTTCGCTTGCTCTTTGCTCTTTCTCCTCCTCTGTCTCTGTCTCTGTGGCCCACTGGGGGGATTGCTACCATTGAGGGCAGCTTCCGCTTCTCTCTTTCTTTGTTCGTCACAACAGAAAGCTCACGCGGGAGAGATCTAGCCAGGGCAGCACATTTCCAGCGGTACTTGAGATTCGACTTGAGATTGAAGCTTCGACTTCGAGTGCTTATCTCTCGTGGTTACTCAATCCCCCTCCAGAGCACAACAACACTCTTCTCGTTGGTTGACAAGGGCAATGGGCACAAAGCCCATCCATCCCCATCCCCATCCATGATAATGGTGAGGTAATGGAAACCGCAGACCGACGTTGAACTTCTAAGGAAACGAAATATGAGAAACGGCAAAGCCACAAGTAAGACAACAACATATAGGAGCGGGGGAGGAATGGTGGGAGACAAGGGTATCCCGTACCAGAGGACAACCAGCAGATGTCACTCAATTTCAATTACAATCTTTGGTCTAGTCGGAGAGAGAGAGAGATAGAGGGGGGGAGGAGCTTTCAACGCGCCTGGCAACCCCCATCAAAGTCAAATTAGAGCAAAATTGAATTCCCTTCCAGACCAGGTGGTCCTGTGGTCCAGGAAAGGGGAAGGGGGAACTCTATGAAATTACTTTTTAAATTGAACAATTTCATTAGGTCTTCTCCCCCTTTCGGTGGATAGATACATAGCCAGTAGCTACGGGGGATTACGGGCTCTTTCGATTGATTTTCTCTCGTGCCAGGGACGCATCAATTACATTGGAACGGCATTAATTATCGTCTATATGTATATGCATTTGTTTGGGTTTTTCTTGTACCGTTATGCGTCAGGGTTGCCATGTGTGCACATCGTATATTAGGTTGGAAGGAAAAGGGTGTGGGGCCACGTTGGGCTTAGTCCGAGGGGCCGCTTATCGCTGTTTGCCTTGCCTTTTAATTTGTATTGCTTCTGCCCCCGGCCGTCGCTGCCATCGAAAGTGCGCATCGCGCGTACACCCCGTGTGTGTTTGTTCAACATTCAACATTCTTCTTATGCTATTTTCGTGTTCATATTTCACATGCAACACACACACACACAGCCCCCCCCAGTCTGTAGTCCCAGGCACGGACCCCAGACCCCAGCCCCGGGCGACACTTACACGCGGATAAACGATTGCACATATTTTACATAGACGTAATCACTTTTTACATACAATTCACACTTATTTCTCTCAGTGCTGATTGCGCTCTCTATGCATTTCCTTTCATTCACTTTTCTTATACACACACCGCACACATTAATTTCTCTCAGTGCATGCTCGCAGCTGATTGTGCTCCTTCTACCACTTTACGCTATGCTAATTCTTCGCACTCCTTTTGCATTTGCTCTTTCGATTGTGCTTAGGGCGACGGAGAGAGGGGAGCGGCTTAGAGGTTGCCACTAATTGAAGAATGTGTAAACACACAATAAATGATTAATTGCACAAAAGAAAACAACACAAGAACACATCACATGGCATCTCACTCGGATCAGCGGCCTTTTGCCGCATCCTTCATTGCACTGCGTTCTGGGGCTTATGCTGATGCTTATGCTCTTCTCCATGTGTGTGTTGGTGGAAGGTAGATTAACGAGGAGGTAAGACAGGTAGGTACTGCTCTGGGTAGCATACTGATTAGTTATACTTTCTATCGCACAACTTTAGTAGGTTTGCCTGCCTAATAGAAGCATCGCTTCCTTAGACGACCTTACCTTACCTCCTCTTTAATATACATTGTGTTCTCTCTCGCTCGCTCACACAAATCAGGAATGATGCGCTGAGTAGGCGGCATATGCGGGGCCTGCAGCAGTGCATGGGCATGTGTGTGTGTCTGTGTGCATGCGTTTGCGAGTGCAAAAGGAAGAGGGAATTATTATAATAATTATCAGAAGGGGAAAAAGGGGCACAGACATCGATGCTGCTGCCTGCGGCTGAAAGATAAGCCAGCAACACAGGCAGCGACAACAACAAGATGTCTCTCACTTGTTCCCTCCCCTCTCTCACACAATCTTTTGCTCGTTCTGGGACTGACTCCTGTCTGCGTTTCTGCTGCGCTGCACTTGAATTCTCACCAACAAGAATATTTTTATACACATGGACAGATGCATGCACATGTGTTTATTTCCTTTTTTCTTTTAATAAAATGTTAAATATTTTTTACACACAACCAACCGAACAGGAAAGGGGACGGGGGTCACAACATAGAACACCAATGCACTCTCACATACGGAGCAATACGCGGCGCTCGTGGAAAACAAACAAAATAACACACTGCTTCTACTTATAAATAAAAAAAATATTATTTACTATTATTGTGTTTGTTTCATTACTTTTTTCGTGTTCGAAACGGATAAAACGAAAACCAAACCGAAACGAACTCAATAGAGGTGTCAAACCATCGATGGAACTATTGATAGTATCGATGTTTTGCTGCTATCCGCTACTATCGACGGCTTTGCGACTATCATGATAGTATCGAGCTACAGTTGTTGCGCCTTTGATATTTTTGGATTGGCTGCTCTAAAATACAAAAGCAAATTTGTAAACAAATCGACAGGTGGCATTTAGTTTTTACATCGGATAAGTTCTTTAAAGGTTTCAATGGTTTTTAAATAAGTATTTGAGCCCGATACTACTACGATAGTATCGACGGCTTTTTCAAAATAAGCAAGACTATCGACGACTCAACTATCAACCGTTTGCCAGCGCTAGTTTCAATAAAATATACCGCTTGACCCACAGAAATATACCTAAATATACCATGCCATTATCAAAATATCCCTTAAATATACTGACGGACACGACAAGACGTTGATGTTCCTCGATTTTGATATTCCGTTTAATATTTCTAGCTAGTTGGCCCTCTCAGCCCTCAACAAATAATTTTATCCAATTCCTCAATAAATTTTGTTTATAATAATAATGGATTGCTTACATAATAATGTTCAAACAAAAACGGCCAAAGCATTAAAATGTAAGTGTGTACTAAATGTGACGTCATTGTTGCTGGACGTATGGACCTTTGTATACCTATTTCCTTTAATTAATGTTAAATTTGTTGTTCCAAGCTCCATTGAAACATTAATAATGATTTGATCCTAAATTGACATGTTTTTTAACCTATTAATGCATATGTTTTGTGTTTTATAAATACATTTATCCCGGTTCTGATACCTATTATTGGTACCCGCGAGCTGCAAAATTTCGATTATATCTTTAAAACACAGACTGAGTAGCTTCTGCATTAATTGGATAGCGATTGATTTCGGCTTTTTCGCTCGGTTCTTAAATCCTGAATTTCGGAATTTTTTTTACGCTAAAATATTCTTTTTTGCTCTCTTCACCTCGAAAAAGAGAAAAACCACCACGTTTTGAGAGCGAATAATATCGACTGAAGATACTATCGATACCATAGTAAAAACGCGTTAAGGTATTTATGTAGCTTAACAAACGTAGCTTAAGCGCCGGGTTTACGTTTAGATTTTGAACATTTTCACATTCTGGAGCTCCAATTGCATTGTAAAGAGCAATTTGTCACAAACAAATACTTTAATTAGAGAAAGTAATTAAACCCGAGCAACGCATAAATGAGTCATCTCTTTTATGTAATCTTCTTTATGAAACTACCGTAAAAATCCAGAATCCAGCTTTAAATGAAGTGAAGCGCTCAGTAGATGGAGTGAAGGGCACGATTCAGTCTGAATTTCTGACTCGAACGCGATCCATTGGAACTTGGCGCTGGAAATTAATGCTGCTTTTCGCCTTTTATTTTGCCTGATCCTTTGTGTTGTGTTGTGTTGTGTGATCTGCTATTAGCGGTACGTGTAGCATCTGGCATATCGGTTCAACGCTCGATCGACGCGCCGGTTGTATGTACACATGTATGTGTTTATATATCATGTGCATATTTAATTAAGACGACGCGTACCGCATACCAACGCAATGTAGGGGAACGAATTTTTGCATTTTGCACAACTCAGTTGCCTTTTGAACGAAACACACGAAGGCTTTGCGTTTCTTTTAAATTCGGTTTGACTAACTCTGCAATGAGTATTACAACGAAGCTAAAAAACCAGACTTCGTAAGGTTTACAAAATAAAAAAAATAAAAGTAAATTCAGCAATAATTATTATCTTTCAATTTAAATATAGGAAGTTTTAATTGATGATTGTGAAATAAATTTTAAAAAAACTTGTAAACTAATATACAAAATAATAATCGTAAGTGAATAAATTAAACATTCTAGTATAAAGCTGAGGCTAATGGAAAGTTTGAATCCATGACGGAATGTGAACTCCCCCCTATCAGCCAACAATTCCTGTATAGCGATAATAATATTTATCGTCGGTTGTTCTGGGTAAACTTTCTTATCAGCATCAATCCCATGTGCACCATTATCAATGCAAAGTGAATGAATTTTCGTCGTGTGAGCGGGATAATTCTCTTGTTTAATTGTTTAAAATACAACAATATTTCTATAAAAAGTACCAATAAACATAATGTACATATAGATAGAAAAGAATACCGCTATTACCATTCTATGTACACATATATGTACATATTTATCAGTTTATCCATAATATGGATTGCATATGGATTCCATAAACAATGTGATATATTCCATATGCATGCCATACATTGCTTCCTTTCCACGAGAGAAAATTCAGAGAATTGCAATTTTATCGCAAGTACATGTGTATGTATGTGTGTGCAATTCAAAAGTACATAAAACGCTTTGCTGCTGTCGGTTAAATCTCGAGACACATATTCTCTACTGCAAAAAATACTGAAAAACGGAATGAGTAAAGGCAAATATCAACATATCTTAATTAACCGAATCGACCCCGAGAGATCAAAGGGAGTGGAAGACGAATAACAGTTTAAGTTCTCAGACAGCTCAGTTCTCAATGCATTCGAATAATAGTAACCCCGAAAACTCAGAACTCAGCCAAGCCAAAATTATGCCAATGTTATGGTTCATTGGCTCCAGGATGTGTTCAAGTATCAAAGTGTCCAAGTATTCGTGCTATTTTTCTTATGCACTCTCTCGTCAAAAACCATCTGCCCTTTTCACTTGCAGATCCTCTAAATTAGAATGCTGCTGATAGTGCACGCTTTTGCTGCCAGTCTGCTGGCTGCAGCGGCCTTTGCTGTAACAGAGATCAACACCATTCCAGGCTGTGACTACTTCGACACGATGAACGTGACGGGGAGCCAGCAGCTGGTCAATGGTTCGTATCTGTACCAGGGCCTGCTCATTCCGGCCGAGCTTACGGCTGAATTTGATCACAGGATTCTGCCGGACGACACCACGGAGCCGGTGGAGGTTCATCTGCGGGGCTGCGTTTGCCGGCTGAGGCCCTGTCTGCGGCTCTGCTGCCACCACTCCCAGTTGATGGCCAATGGGGAGTGCAGTGGCAGCATCGAGATGGATCTGACACGACTGAATCCCTACCTGAACGTGACGCTGGACAACGGCACGGTGGCAAGGCGACACTTCCAGAATGAGTTTATCATTCAGAGCGATCTGCCGCTTCCCTGCAATGATATGTACCCGCTCAACGATGGAGAGGAGATGGATCAGTACATAGTGTTTGAGGTTTGGACCCCCGCCATCTGTACCCCGTATCCCGCGAATTCTAATGCCAGTGATCTTCCTTAGAATGGGTCCTTCTTCCGATCCTACGACAGTGCAACGATGAGCAAGCGGGAATACTGCCTTCAGCCGTATCACTTCAACGAAGGCGAGACGGAGTCATTCCGGATAGTTGCCCACATCTGCACGATTGAGTCGAAAGACGAGATGGGCCAAACCATTGGTGAGCACTGTTCCAATCCTTTCCAATCTTTGATCACATCTAAACTATTTCTTTTGCTATCCTCAGTGATGGTTCTTAGCCTCTTGTGCCTTGCCTGCACGATCACCGTCTATCTCTATCTGAAGAAGCTCCAAAATCTCCATGGAAAGTGTTTCGTTTGCTGTCTGATCTGCCTTTTTGTAGCTTTCCTTGTCCTACTGCTGGACTTGTGGGAGCTGACAAATGGCTTATGCAAGACATCAGGTACTTTCCGTATCAGATATTAGTTCAGATGCAGTCGAATAACAGCTCTCACTCTCTCCCACCTGTAGGCTACATTGGCTACTACTTCGTAATGGCCATGTTTCTGTGGCTGTCAGTCATCAGTTGGAATCTCCGCTCCACATTCAACTGCAGTGTGAGCGCAGTGAATAGATATTTGCCGAAGAATGTGTTCCTTGCGTACAACATCTATGCCTGGGGAGTGGCATTCATCCTCACGGCCGTCATTTATATTGTGGATCACCAAGTGGAGGATATTCCTGAGAATGAGCCCTGGCTTCCTGGCGTTGGGTTCTACAACTGTTGGATCAAGAGTGGGTCGCTTAGGTTCCTCCCATAGGGTTGGATTCACAGAATTTTCTACTCTTCATGTAGCTAACGACTGGTCGGCCATGTTATACTTCTATGGGCCGATGTTAATTCTAATCATTTTCAATGTGACCATGTTCATTCTCACGGCCATTCGAATTATTGCGGTGAAGCGCGAGCTGCAGGTCATTGTCGATCGCCAGGAGAGAAAGCAGAAACTGAACTCCGACAAACAGACGTAAGAATTTTAGCCACACATGTTCAAACAGTTATCCTCTATCCTCTGTCTTTCTTTTACCCCTCACAGCTATAGTTTCTTTCTCCGACTCTTCATCATCATGGGCGGGAGTTGGAGCCTGGAGATACTCTCCTACTTGGTGCAGGACGATCAGATATTAAAAAATGTCTTTCTGGTCGCCGATTACCTCAACTGGTCACAGGGCATCATCATCTTCTTCCTATTCGTGATGAAGCGCAGTGTTTTGAGGTTGTTCAAGGAACGGTAAGTGATCTTTGCTCAATCTGTATTTAAATGAGGGAAATAATCGGGTTTCATCACGAAAATATCTCCGTTAAGAAACGACGATTGTTCCGAGGAAGAGATATCACTCGAAGAGACGCAACGGCTATAGGTAAAGCGATTGATTTTCCTCACATTTCGTTGGTGTTTGGTCTGTACTTTGGTGTCGGCTAACTACTAAAACTTATTGAATAGATTAGCATGGTTAGGGTTCTCTTTTCTGGTTGTAGCTTTAGTAAATTACAGGTCTGAACTCTGCTAACCCGTTTGCTACCTTCTATGTTTCGTTTTTAGCGTGGTTTTGTGTCTTGTTTTCGTTTTTTGTTGGAATGTTGCTGCACGTTGAAAACTGCCTGATCTCTACGTTTTTTAAACCTTTTACGTTTGTTCTCTCTCCTAGAAAGCAGTCAAGGATCACACGAAGTGTCGTAAGCATTAGATCCCACTCGAGTCGCAATACGATTGGACGACAAGCAGCTAAACTCCTGAGGGATAACCCATCCTCGCAGTTCTTAACCCAGATGTAGGAGGCAAAGCCCAATCTACGGAAATTTTACTTAAGCCTGATAATCTAATACTTACCACTTACTATTAATTAAACCAACCTATTAAAACACCATAACCCACTCAAATTAAATATTGCTGGAGTGTCACGCAGACAGTGTCCGCGAAGACCTATAAAAGGATTCTCCCAGACGAAAGACAAACACATTGCGAAATGGGATTAGAGGTTAAATTTCTGACTCGACCGCGTCCCACGCCATTAACTGTAACTTTGTGCTGGAAATTAATGCTGCTTTTACATACATATTTTCATATGTATTTATATATTATGTACCTATGTATATATATAATTAATACGGCGCGTTCTGCATACCAATGCATTTGGCTAGAGGGGGATAAACATCGATGCATCGATGTTTTTAAACCTTTTGGAAACATCGATGTCCTATGGCGACTATGGATGTTTTTGCCACTGAAGGTTTGTGGGCAAAAACATAAATATTTATAATTTGAATATTGCAAATTGAGTACCATAATGAGTACCCACTAAGCATTTGGAAGGTAAAAAACCATTTTAAAACCTTAAACGTCAAATCACTTCAAACGAAAAACATTGATTTTTCATCGATGTTTGCTTTGAAAACATCGAAAACGTCGATGTCCGCGACCATCGATGTTTCTCCACCTTTAATGTGGCACAATGTATTTCTGCATTTTTTAAACTTCAGTTGCGTCTTGAACTAAATATACTAAATATAAGCATAACAACGAAACTAAAAATTATTCTCTCACAAATTAAATATAAAAAGTTTAAATAATTATCGTCCGTAACTGGAGACAATTAATAATTAATTGAAAGTCTGAATTAATGTCGGAATGTGAACTCCCCCTATCCATCGAAAATTCCTGTATAACGACAATAACTCATCGGTTTTACTAAGTGAGATTTCTTATCAGCATTGTTTCCATGCTCTTTGAGTATTAAGGCCCTGTGCCATGAAACGTGCGTGAATCACAGTTGGAGCAGAGCTATCAACCACTAAGGAATTGGAAGTGGACCTTTGGGGCGTATCAGAAAATATAGCCTCTGGTTATGCTCATGATTGAGATCCAGGGACTGAGCTGGACTTAGCGTCACGGTCACGGTGACACATTGCTTTTAGCTAAGTTGCGCTGGCCAAACGCGGACTTCTTGCATTTAAATGATATGTAATCAGTCTTCTACGAACTATCACATCACTGTCAGAGCAATACACAATTGTTTTCATAGTTTTTGAGGATATTGAAAGGTCTTGCCTTCAACCATCGTCGACCATCCTCTAAAAGAGAATACACTGGATACCGTCTGTCCCTCCCGATGAGCGCCTAGATCTCAGAGACTATAAGACCACTGACCATACAGCCGAATTCCTGGGAACGTACGCTGAAAACTCAGTTGCGCCACTTTCGTTGTATGTATGAACTGGCACATCTATATACTGTATGGTTAGTGGCTAGACCCACCAAATTTTGTTCCCAGACTCATTTGATTTGATTTCAAAACTTCGCCCGTCCGCTTGCGCCACCACATTGTGGCATCCACAAATATAAAGATAAAATAAAACTAAAAACTAAATAAACGCAGTATCGTAGAGAATGATCATATCCACCAGATTGCTGAATCTGGATCAGATCGGGTCATTATTTTAGACAGAATGAAGAACTTAATTTTCAGTTGCTTACCCCGCCCTTCTCAGAGAAGCAGACGCTACCAATATTCGTGCTATTTTTCTTATGCACTCTCTCGTCAAAAACCATCTGCCCTTTTCACTTGCAGATCCTCTAAATTAGAATGCTGCTGATAGTGCACGCTTTTGCTGCCAGTCTGCTGGCTGCAGCGGCCTTTGCTGGAACAGAGATCAACACCATTCCCGGCTGTGACTACTTCGACACGATGAACGTGACGGGGAGCCAGCGGCTGGTCAATGGCTCGTATCTGTACCAGAGCCTGCTCATTCCGGCCGAGCTTACGGCTGAATTTGACCACAGGGTTCTGCCGGACGATACCACGGAGCCGGTGGAGGTTCATCTGCGGGGCTGCGTTTGCCGGCTGAGGCCCTGTCTGCGGCTCTGCTGCCACCACTCCCAGTTGATGGCCAATGGGGAGTGCAGTGGCAGCATCGAGATGGATCTGACACGACTGAATCCCTACCTGAACGTGACGCTGGACAACGGCACGGTGGCAAGGCGACACTTCCAGAATGAGTTTATCATTCAGAGCGATCTGCCGCTTCCCTGCAATGATATGTACCCGCTCAACGATGGAGAGGAGATGGATCAGTACATAGTGTTTGAGGTTTGGACCCCCGCCATCTGTACCCCGTATCCCGCGAATTCTAATGCCAGTGATCTTCCTTAGAATGGGTCCTTCTTCCGATCCTACGACAGTGCAACGATGAGCAAGCGGGAATACTGCCTTCAGCCGTATCACTTCAACGAAGGCGAGACGGAGTCATTCCGGATAGTTGCCCACATCTGCACGATTGAGTCGAAAGACGAGATGGGCCAAACCATTGGTGAGCACTGTTCCAATCCTTTCCAATCTTTGATCACATCTAAACTATTTCTTTTGCTATCCTCAGTGATGGTTCTTAGCCTCTTGTGCCTTGCCTGCACGATCACCGTCTATCTCTATCTGAAGAAGCTCCAAAATCTCCATGGAAAGTGTTTCGTTTGCTGTCTGATCTGCCTTTTTGTAGCTTTCCTTGTCCTAATGCTGGACTTGTGGGAGCTGACAAATGGCTTATGCAAGACATCAGGTACTCTTCCGTATCAGATATTATTTCAGATGCAGTCGAATAACAGCTCTCTCTCCCACCTGTAGGTTACATTGGCTACTTCTTCGTTATGGCCATGTTTCTGTGGTTGTCAGTCATCAGTTGGAATCTCCGCTCCACATTCAGCTGCAGTGTGAGCGCTGTGAATGGGGATCACCCAGAGAACGTGTTCCTTGCGTACAACATCTATGCCTGGGGAGTGGCATTCATCCTCACGGCCGTCATTTATATTGTGGATCACCAAGTGGAGGATATTCCTGAGAATGAGCCCTGGCTTCCTGGCGTTGGGTTCTACAACTGTTGGATCAAGAGTGGGTCGCTTAGGTTCCTCCCATAGGGTTGGATTCACAGAATTTTCTACTCTTCATGTAGCTAACGACTGGTCGGCCATGTTATACTTCTATGGGCCGATGTTAATTCTAATCATTTTCAATGTGACCATGTTCATTCTCACGGCCATTCGAATTATTGCGGTGAAGCGCCAACTGCAGGACATTGTCGATCGCCAGGAGAGAAAGCAGAAACTGAACTCCGACAAACAGACGTAAGAATTTTAGCCACATATGTTCCACACAGTTATCCTCTATCCTCTGTCTTTCTTTTACCCCACACACAGCTATAGCCACTTTCTGCGACTCTTCATCATCATGGGCGGGAGTTGGAGCCTGGAGATAATCTCCTACTTGGTGGAGGACGATAAGATATTGAAAAATGTCTTTCTGGTCGCCGATTACCTCAACTGGTCACAGGGCATCATCATCTTCTTCCTATTCGTGATGAACCGCACTGTTTTGAAGTTGTTTAAGTAAGTGATCTGTGCTTAATCTGTGTTTAAATGGGGAAAAAAATCGGGTACAGGTCTGAACTGTGCTAACCCATTTGCTGCCTTCTATGTTTTGATTTTAGCCTGGCTTTTGTGTATTGATTTCATTTTCTTGTTGGAATGTTGGAATGAGCAACATTGCACGTTGGAAACTGCCTGATTTCTACTTCTACTTAACTTGAAACATTTGTTCTCTCTCTTAGAAATCAGTCAAGGAACACACGAAGTGCCGTAGGCATGAGATCACACTCAAGTCGTAGTACGATTCGACGACAGCTTAACTCCCGCGGGATAACTCAGATGTAGGAGCCAAAAGCCCAATGTTCAGAAAGTTTACTTACGGCTTATAGCCTACTACTTACTACTAATATTACTCACCTATTTTTCGCTTGTGAAATAATTTTCTTTTTATAGGAATTACTCGCAGAAGTTCGAGTAGTACAATTTTTAAATGATACATAATACTTAAACCTTTGTACATTATAAAAAATTGATAAAAAAAAAGCTAAAAGCAACAAGCTTATAAACAAAATAAGAGTTTCACAGTAAAAATTTTAAGAAAAATACTTAATGCTCCCTGGTACATTCGTAATAAGGATGTTGAAAGGGATCTAAGGATTCCCAAAGTGGTTTATGTATTGCAGCAACACGCAACCAATATTTATCTAAAACGCCTTTCTGGTCTCCCCAAGCTAGACGTCATACTAAAGGAGAAGGAACGTGTGAGTCGCTTCTTTCGACGCGACTCTACTTTTACTCAGTCAGTATATAAATTTGTGAACTTATGACTGAGGTAGAAATTAAAAAAATTTTACATTTAAAATTTTTTTTGCTACATCAGTTATCTACGTCTACAATGTAGATGTAGAATATACCATCTAACATGTAGATTATACATGTACCATTTAGATTCTACATCTTATCCACTAGCGGGCACTCGCGCACTGAATGAGGCAGAGTGTGCGAGCGAGAAAGAGAATGAGTAGCGCAGTCTCTTGATGGAGGAGGCGCGGGAAGCAACTGAAAATTAATTCCTTCATTCTGACTAGAATTATGATCCGATGATTCAGATTCGGCAATCTGCTCATTCTCTTCGATTCCCCTTTTTTTTATAGATCAAACCCCTCTTAGACTTAGCCTTTGTTTGCAATTGGCACGAACTTGATGCTGAGTTCAAGAAGATTTATTATTGAAAGTTTTTCCATTTAATACATAAAGGTTAACTAACTTTAAAAGGGAATTTCTTTTGGAAATTGGTTAAGTATTCAATCAAATTATACCATTTCAGATGCTTAAATGTACCACAATTCCGGAACACAATCCAAAATGTGTGGGAATGAGAATAATAATAATAAATTAATAAATTTCTTGTAAAAATTATTAATATCTAAAGCAATTTTTTATTATTTGTTACGGGTTAGAGATGAGATTTCAATGTAATTTTTACATTCTACACCGTCCTGGCAGCACCACTGTTGGTATTTACATGAACTCTACCCGTAACAGCCACAAAAGAACCAACGAACTATGTACATATGTACTATGTACTCTACATAGACTGCCAATTACATTCTGCTGTTACTTGTAAGCTTTTGCAAGCTTTCAACTATATTTTAAGGTTTGTTACCGCTTGTAAATTCAGAAAGCCTTATCTTGTTTACATTCCGGCATATAACATTATGTTACTTAACTTAACTGTTAAGTGTGAGATCGGTAGAGTGCGGCACCGAGAGA